TTAGCTGTTGCATTTTATTTACCAGGTATAAAGAATGCTTATAAAGACGTTGTCTTGTAGTTGGTCAAAAAGGAGGCACGTGCTCATTTCATGTGTCACTTATAATTACGCTACTATAAATTTTAATTTGATAATTTTTCTATGCCTATTTAATTTTGAGAATTTAATGTAATAGATTTTAGTTCAGTAAGAAATTCACTTGAATGACTGTGAACAGACTAAGTCTTCTGCATGCACAGTGAGTTATTGTTGAAATACATCTGTATTTTTAGGTTATGAGTTGTATAAAGTAGTTGGTGTTGATATAAAAGGTAAATCACACCTATATTTTTGGGATATAGAAAATTGTTTAGTGTGTAAATGGCGCTTATATCAGTGTGCTTTATGGAGTTGTTTACATCATGAAGCTTCATTCCTCAGGTGGACAGTGAGGAATCTATTCCCACATTCTACAGTTTACTCTGTTTAAGCACTTTTATTGGCATGAAGACAAGAATGGGAATTTCCTCTGAAGAATAACCTAGAAACTTAAATGTTAAACTCCTTTCAAAATAACAGGATGAATGGGGTTGTGGTGTGTACTTGTGGTAATGTCCTTGTTCACTGTTTTCAATAATAAAATATTCTTGCCTTCGTCTCAAATGTGAAATTAAGTAAGGTATTTCTCCTACAAAGTAATTCTGTTGGAAACTTAAAAGCACCAGAAAAGTACCATCTTGGCTGTAATGCTATGCTGTCTTCAGAAAGTATTTTATCTGTAGAGTTGGGGGGGTGATTTTTTTTTTTTTTTTTTGGTCAGCACTAACATAGTATAGTGCTTGTTGCCATCTTATCAAGTGCCTTGCACGTGTGGGTCTTGGGGTATTTTCTAATATTTCATGTCAACAACTGAATGATTGTAACTAAAATGTATTGGTTATGAGTCAGTGGAACAGTGGAATCTGGTGAAAGTACTCCTTGGATATTAGCATTCTTCAAATACATATTATCCTGATCGGACATGATTAGCCATGGATATGGACATAATATGATCTTTGTGTGAGTACGTACAATTTGGTAACTGGGAGAATGACAAAAAAAATTTTTCTCCTGTTCCACTGTCTGTCTGCCAGCCAAGACTACAGATCTCTTGTATGCCATGCAGCTGGAGTGACAGAAAAATACTTCCAAATCTTCTTGAAGTTTAAAAGAATCTAAATTAATATGTCACATTTTGGGACGAGTAATAGTTCTGTTTTCTGTGCTGTCTGCTCTTCCTAAATGACTATGTTCTCTTTTCCTAACTCTGTTTTTAATTTTACAAATTTAACTACAGTCTTTAGTATTAACTATTCTGCTATTCCAGTGCCTTTGATGCCCCTTTTAAAGTAGTGGAGAAAAGAGACTTTCCAAAGTTAATTCGTTAAATAGCATGTAAATTTTGATGATGTCTTTTCCTTTATCTATAAATATTTATATTTCAGTAGCATTAAATTCCTCTGCTGCGTTGTGTGGAACGCACAAGTGTCAAACAGACAAAAAGTTGTGCTGTGCAAAGTGATCTGTGAAATGCATTAGCAGTACTCGTTATCTGTTTAAATAATAGGTTTGTGAGAACAATGTAACACCGCGTAAATGTCTTCAGTTGCTGTGCATTTTGGATTTACTGATATTCTGTCAAAATTTTAGGATCTCTGTTCTTCTAATTATTGTAACTGCAAGAATTTCTGGGATGTCTTTGTGTCTAGAAAGAGTACAAAGGAGAAAAAGTTACTTTTTATGGGGAAAAACAAATCTAAAGAACTTCTGTGGGTTCTATTTCCACAATTTGCCTTGGTGAACTCAAGACCCGTTATAGTAAACATGAACTCCACAGCTACTGCTAAAGTTACAATTTGGTATCTAGATTGTCTCTATTTAAAACCTTTTCTGTGGATGGATGAAGAGTACGGAATTCTTAAATTTGTCTTTAAATTGTCTCAGCTGTGAGGTGTCCTGGGAGTTTTAGTGTTGAGAGAAGTTTGAGCACAGCTTGTAGATTTTTCTGCTTCTCTAAAGCACTGGTGAGGTTTTGCTAAGATGTAGAGCAGAAGGAATGTTCTTACATTTTATATGTAAAAGCATGTCTACCACACACCACCACGTGATTTAAACTTTTTGGGACCAAAGCCACCTAAGTTGTCTTGCAAATCAGAGTGAAAACAACAGACCTCAGTCTCATATTTTAAGTTCAAATGTGGTTTTGGTGGCCTTACCTATCCTAATTTAATGCAGATTTTGCTTGTTTAAGACATTAAATTTTGAAGTACCAGTTAGGCTTTTCTTGGGTTTCATCTTGCCTAGCCTGCCAAGGATAATAGGTGGTGCTCTGATCAGTGGTTGTTCAGCTAACTGAACCTGCATACAACTTATGGCATTCACTGCAACACGGTCTGTATTAATATTAGTGCTAGTAACTGTTCCACAGTTGATGGCATTTGTCCTAATGATATCTTAAGTTATTTTTTTGTATCAAAATAGGATGGCAGTGTATGGAGAAAATGCCCTTATAGCTAGGTTTTTGTCTCCTTCTCCCTTCCCTTTCCCTCACCCTCAGTTGACTTGGTTCACATGTTCCTTTTGAGGGATTAAAAAGTAGCTTCTAATGGGAATATTGAAGCCGTTTAGAATTCTAATGACAGATTTCAAATTAGTTTCACAGTTTTGACCGTTTATTTAGTGAACTGTCTGTGTTTGAGACTCGCCGATCAGAGTCCTGCTTTCTTGGATTGCCTAAGAAAGTGAGAAGTGTGTTATGTGGTGGGTATCTGCGGGAGTGTTTCTTTTCTCAGTAAAAAGAAATGATCATTAAAACACTTCCTGCTGCCAAAATGAGGCAATAAAGACGTGATCAGCAGAAAAGTGTTGGGAAGCAAATTCTGTCTCTCCCTCTCCTGGATATCCAGGTAGTAAAGGGGCACTAGTGTAGTTTTAAAGTGAAATAGGAGGAAGTTTAGTTGAGGAGTGCGGTTGTGGTGTTCTCAGCTCTGCCCTGCTGCTTTTTCTAGCAAAGGCATTAAAGAGTAAGGGGTTTGAAACCTCAGTTGGTTTGCTTTAGGTTTGGATCAGTAGCAGATCTTGGTGATTTCTGATTTCTTCAGTCCCTTGTGGAGTTGTAATTTGTCCTTTTAAATATTTTTTAAAGCTTTATATAGTTCCAAAGAAAACTGCTGGTCCCTCTAGGGCAACTGAGTTGGCACCTTAGGTGCTTATACCATCTCTGCTTTGACTACAGGAGTTTGGAGTGCAGGAGATTCAGTCCTTGGTGTAGAAACTTTTTTCCGAGGGTGTTTCATTCTACATGTAGGTAAGCCTCCAAGGAACATGCTTGCTTATGCAAGATCAAATTATTTCAACCTGTATGATGTGGATCACAAGGATATTCTCTATACGTGTTACTCTTACTTCATACTGCTCCTTTGCAGAACAGTCCTTTGCAGGACAGTTAAAAGGTGCATCCTCCCCATTCCTGATACTCCACTGCACCTGTGCTTGTGACCTGTCTCTTGTTTGATGATAAAACTTTCCCTCCATGAGTGACAATAGTTCTAATTGTATGACAAAAGCAAGAAGCAAGCAAATGTAAGCTGCTCTCATTTTTCTCACTTGTGGAAAGCAACTAACTCTTCTGGTGCTTGTGCTTTTTATTTTGTTGCTTCAACCATTTGTGAAGGGCAACTTGCAGATGTTAGTTACTGTAGTGTTGTATGGGATGGTTTGCATAGAAACTGAGAAATCCATTTAGTAAACTTTTAAAAATAAAAGCACCACTGGTGGTCTTAAAACTGCAAAAACTTTGCATTTGTTGAACAAAAACTATTTTCAAGTTGGAAGTATCAGTTGCTAGACAGCATTAATGATGCTCATAAATTGCAAACATTGTAAATGATCTATATCTAACTTGTAATGTCATGTGTTTCTACTCTACAAAGGTATAATACAATGGAGAGCACTCGAGAGCACTCAGTAAATCCATAGTGGTCATTTTTATTTTCAAGTTGCAATCTAAACGAACTGTGTAAACTGTTTCTATGTTTTCCAGACTACATTTTGTAAGATGAAGAACAGAAAGCAATGTGTTCAAGATACTGAGGATCAGAAGCATGAAAGCATGGAAGGTAAAGTCTGTGTGCATGAAAGTATTTGAGTATATTATTCAGGTTCAAGCTGTGAAGGTCAGATTCTACATTTGCTCTCTCAATTAGCATGCTGCTTGTTTTGAAAAAAGTTATGTAAACATAACCACTAGCTGGGCATAATATTTTTCTTTGGCCTGTGGGGTCCCCAAATCCTTTTGTGTCTCTTCTGTTGTTTTGCTTGTTGACTTCTAGTAGCAGAACAAAAATGGAGATAGCAATTGTTACTCAGAAAAAAAAAAAATAGAGTAAAATTCCTTGAAGAAAAGCTCTTGCATTTGTATATTTTGAAAACAATTTCTAACTTTAACAGAACCAGGAACATTTTTTTATTTAATTAAGTTGACTAGGTAAATATTTGAGGATGTTCAGATTAAAATAGTTCTAAGACTGGAAAACTGAAATAAAGGTAGACCATCTGTGTATAAGATAATGAAGATAGAATATGCTGGTCTAATTTATTTCGTGGAGAGAGAGTGCAAACATATGAGGACAAAGGACTAGGGAGAACAGTATCTAAATGACTACATGGCCAATAGGAAGTAATGTGTGATGCTTTAAGTAGCACTAGTAGAGCTAACTTTCCTTTGTTTTAGTGGCAAATATTGGTACAGTAGCCTATGAAATATTTTGCATAGCATTTTTCACCTGAAATACATTCTTTAACTACTCCTCTGGCCAGTGTCCTGACCTGAAAACTTGATTAACCTGCTTTTAACTACAGAAAATTGTATCTTCTTGCCACCTCATTCAAATCTAGAAGGACTTTGTTTCAAAAACTGTCAAAAATTCTAAGTGTCAATGTTAATAATACCAGGTGAAGAAAATGAAGAAAGCTGTTCCTGTTCTACTTTATTATATGATGGTGACACATGCCCCATCTGTCTGAACTGCCTTCTAGAACAAGAGATTGGTTTTCCTGAGAACTGCAGTCATACCTTCTGCATGACTTGTATTCTTAAATGGGCTGAGGTAAGACTGAGAACCAAGGTGTGTGTTTATTTTGCAGTGAAATCTCTTGCATCTAATACCTACAGATTTTTTTAATAGAAAATAGGTTATGCATTCTGACTTTGCACAGAAGTGTTTTCAATGACCAATTTATACATAGATCATAGGGAACTTTCCCCTTAGTGCGATAAGGTACTTTGTTGTGTTTCACTAGACATCCTGACTTATAATGGTTACTAGAGATTAGGGATCAGTTAAAAAAAATGGCGTGGGCCATTTGGAAGATGGGACAGTACTATGTATGTGCCATAATATTGCAATGTCATCAGCTTAATATTATTTTGTTATCCCTTATGCTGTTTGTCATACTGTCAACACTTGGGGCTGGGACCAATATGTTTTCATGTTAATCTACAAAATGAGTCTGATAAAACCTTAGTTTTCCAACTGTAAAGAGAATTAATCTAAAAGGTTTATTGCTATTCTGAATTTAAAATTTTCATTTTAATTACGGCTATTATTTGATCTATGTCAATACCTTTGTAGATAGTTCTGGAACCTTGAAGAAAAATGACTTTTTGAACAAATGATTTGTCCTGTAATGATTGCATTAAGTCTTTCATATCTTTGCCTTTCCTGTAACTTTTTCAATTGTCAATGTAAAACACCAAATTAGAATTGCATTATACTGTATTGGGGGAGGTACTCAAATGAGATGCTGCTTTTTGTCCTGTTTCTGTGCGCTTGAATTGGTTGCTCATTGTAGTAGAGACAACTACTTGGTTTCTTTGCAGTAACTTTCTTTTGAAGTAAATGATGGGTTTGTTCTCAGTATATCCTTTAGAAGGTTGATATCACCTATATGTATGTATATGTACAATATACTTATGTGTTATTTTTTACTAAATATATTTAACCCTTGGTTTTGTGTTATTTATTACTGACGGTAGACAGTAATATAAATCACTTCTTTCTGAAGATTTTGTGTAAACTCCAGTGTTAAAAATATGTTATTAGATGAAACTTGCTTTAGATTCACAAACAGATAGTAAACTTAAGTCTCCTGTTGCCAGATTTTCTGTTCTGCAAATTATTAATTGCAGTGCTTTTATTTATAAGGGAACAGGAAATTCTCATCCACAATTTTATCCTGACTTCCTTAGCTGGTTGTTACAATGGCAGCTGAAAGGCAATAAATAGTGACTTGCACAGGGAAGCACTACAGCAGATGGAGGGCTTGCCTGCTGGATTTGAGTTTGTTCGCATTGTCTAACAGATGCTTTTAAGCCCAATGAGGAATGGAAATTCTCTTGTTTCAAACAGGCAGACAAATGATATAACATTTTTCTTGTCATGTTAGGGTTTGTTTTTTTTTTGGCATGAAGTACTATCCAAATAGACTAAAAGCAATTTATGCTCTTTAAGTTTACATGTGAAGTAGATGTGATGCCATAAAAATGGTGGGTGGTTGTTTTTAAAGTTAAGTAAGGCTTCTGCTGGCTCTTTCTATGAGTGACATCTGATGCGTAAAACCAGCCAGCCTTCCTTTTCTGGGGATACTTGACAGCTGGACCTGCTGAGTTCATGAAACTCCATTGCCTAATCTAGTAGTTCTAATTAGAAGTAAAAGAGGAGGGAAAAAGTGTTGAAAACTGGCTGACAGATGTTCAGAGGCTTCAGCTTTGAGAAGGAGATGGGGTTTTATATCGTGGAATGATAAAAACGTATGTGGCCATTTGAAGTATGCTGATGCTATGTGGTTTTTGTGTCCACTAGTAATATTTAGTAAGTAAATGTTCTTGTTCTTTTTTGAGAAGTCTTGCATAAGGTTTAGCTTTCTCTGCTAGTTCTTGGTTGATCATAACTAGTGAAAAATACATAGCTGACAAGTAGTCAAATTTAAGTCACTCTGAATAATGAAGATATAAAAGCTATCTGCTCTTCAAAAAATATGCTACCAGATTCTGTTTAAAGTATTTTTATTTGGTATATATAAATTGTTTTTAACACACTGCTTTCTTCTTTAAGTGCTGGAGAATAACAAAATTAATAATAAGATTACTGAGCAAAATCTAAAAAAAAAAAAGGGGGCCCTATGTTCACGTTACTTGAAGTGCTCTTTTGTGTGTCTGTACTTATGGTCCTTACACTGAAAGGCTTTGCTGGTAGTCTGTGTTCAAGTTGGATATTTCCTCTATCTTTCTGTGTTGTATCTAGAGTTCAAAATATAACAGGAGCAACTATTTCTTTAAACTGTTACAGTTTTCAAATTGTACATAATCATTGTTTTTCTGAGAGTTTATGGCTTCTATACGTAACTGTGTAGATTCTAATTAAAACCAGGGTAGTTTAGACAGATGGTAAGAGTTTGTTTACCATTCTGCTCCCTCTTCTATCTATGGGAGATTTTTGACATTGCAACTCCAGTTAAGTGTCCTGTACATTTTCTGTCCACAAGCAGCAACCATAACACTTTGAAGATCTCTCTTTTTAAGGAGACAGAGTGATAATGTAGATAGATATATGTGCACTTAAAAACAGTATATAAAAATTGCTTTTAAGTGAGTGTCCTCTGGTTCATTCTGTGAAGGGCTAAAAAGGGATAAGAAATTTGCCACAGAACATCTAATATATTAGATCCTGATGGCTAAATCTGAGTATTTAGTTTCAGAATTAAGTAGCATTACAGCTGAGTCAGTGCTGTATTTTCTTTTCACTTTGAGGAAGGTTGTCCAACTCCTAAAAGAAGAATGAGGGAAGAGATCAGAATCCCCACTAAGAAACTGGTCTTCAGATTAACTTTTTTAAATGTCCTTGAAATCGTTCTACTCTCGTTGGCTATGTTTGCTGGAGTTAATTGTGGCATCTGAGAGCATTGCTGTGGACTCAATTCAGTTGCCTACGCTGTTAAACTCTCCTGGACTATTACATTCTCATCTTGTGTGCCTCTGGCCATGCTAACCAGTGCTCTCAGAATTGCTGGGCAGCACTGGGCAGGCAGGCTGTTAGGGGCTGTTTCCAGTAGGCATGCAAAGATTAACATAAATGTCATTCATCCTGTGCTAGCTGTCAACTATTCCTGTAAACCATAATTTACTAATGGAGACTTTCAAGGTTGAGGCTTTGTATTTCACTGAGGCTATGTTGGAAGATCATAAAAAGTAAAAGGCACTAAATCTGGAGCTCAGGTTACTGGACACACCCGTCAACGGGAATGCGGAAGGATAGTGTGAGGGGTTGCTTTCAGTATAAAGAACACGTACAGGATAACATTGTTCTGCCTGCATAGTAAAGAGCTTCAGCTATTGCTCTGTGTGTTGGAAAAAAAAAGGGGGGGAGGGGGAGCCTGTGGGGGTGGACAGAACCAACAGTAAAAACCACAAAAAAAAAACCCCAATCTAGTCATCAAACACTGTTGTGTTACACCAAGGGAAGTAATTACATTATGTGTTTCTGTTGTCTGTAATACCACTAGTAGATGAAAGCTAGTTGGGTCAAAACGATAATTTTTTTTTACTTTTTCTGGTACGCTTGTATTTTGTGTTTTAGTTGGTAAGTACTCATTTATAATAGCCAGTTTTGAAAGCCTTTAAGTCAAGCTAATGTGAAGGGAGGGTAACCAGGTATCTATGGCAAGCAGATACGTGAAGTAGCCAAAACCACCTCAGCTAAGACAACTGCTTTCGCAGCCATAGTGCCATCTCCACTTTTTTGTGTTCTGTTCAAAGAAAGGAATCTTAAATTAGAGGAGATAAATATTTGCTCAGCTTTACTGTAGGCTTTTTAACTTCTATTCTTCAGAGTGCTAATAAATATACTGGAGATTTCTATCGTTGCTGTTGTGTTAATTCCTCTTACGAACCATTGTGAGAGAAGAGTGCTAAAGAAAATATTCAGTGTGTTGTCTGCGTTATCACAATGATTGTATGTGAGACATTGATTTCAGTGACCCTCCCCTACAAAGTTTATATCTCTGCCTCTGCACCTGGTTTCCCTCATTCATTTTCCCTCATCTGGATGATTTGAAAGTGGAATACATTCAGCTGTAAATTCTCCAAAGCACTGGGGCACATTAGGTAGGCCCTGTGCAGTGTCGGTGGTTGACTTAATACAGCTAAGCAGGTGGCACAAAGAGCTGCCTTGTGTCAAGTTTCTAGCAGATGTTCTGTTCTACTTAGAAATAGTCATTTCCTTTGTGGTGGTATAAAGTTTGGATGATTGATTACGTAGAAGTATATTGCACGTGTATATTCTTCTGAGGGTGAAGAGAGTTACCTGTATGGTAACTGGAATTTCTCATATGTATTCTTTCTGATCTGGATTTCTTTTGACCTAAAGGATATATGAAGGAATCGACTTATGTGGCAACAAGCTCCACAGTGATCTGCAGTACAGAGCACTGTGGGCAGGATTAAGATTACATTCACGAACCAAATATGCAGGGTGTTCAAAGAAACACTAAACCTGAAAAACAAAACAACAATAAAAACCCCTCTTGTTCAAGTGTGTCCAACATAATGTATATGTAGACAGTGTGTCTGAGAATTGCTGCATTGAAAAAATGTATTAATCAAATTTTTTCATAAAATCTAGATACCTTTTTTCAAAGTACATGTTTTGTCTTTGTGGTATACAGTTGTTCTTAGCGTATTTCCCTGCATAAGCAGGGCACTTGGACAAGATGACGTCCAGAGGTCTTTTCCAACTTTAAACATTTTGTGATTCTGTGATTTATCAAGTACATTCATGCAGCAATTTATGAATGTTAATGTTGTTAAACTACAGTGCAGAAGCCTGTGTGTTTTTGAATTTGACGTAAATTCTTCCAATAACATAGTGTCAAAGGAAGTACAATGACACATACAGTATCTTTCTTATTATAGAATTCACAGATCCTTACAAATAATGAATCGTTTCATCCTGTCCTAAAACCAGCCACCAATCCAGTAGAACTTGTCAACACTTTATGGCAATTTTGGATTGGAAGTTAAGGACTAGCCAACTACATGATGTAGGTAGAGAGAAAACAGCCATTTAGAATTTTAACCATGTAGTCTGTTGATTAGCTGTTGAGACTAGAATCTCTCTTCTTATGCAGTCTGTATCTTTACTATCCATGAATGATATTTCCAAAAAAAAAACCAAACTAACATACCTTGTCAGATGGTGCTTTCCTAAAGCGTAACTACAAAAACTTTAAATGTACTTGCTTTTCTTTAGTAGACTGGGAAAAAAAAAAAGTCATCCTGAGTTTTTACATTCTTCTAGAAAACAGTGCATTTCCTGATGTCTTCCTCCTTCTCTTTCATCAAAGTGTGGAGAGGCTATTTCTCAGTACATGTGTTGCTAAGTCTCCCTTTATACTGAAGCTGGAGGCAGAATTTTTGTGGGCTTTTTAGTGTACTGTTACTACTAGGTGGAGTGAAATACACAGACGTTACTTTACTATCTAAACCTCACCTTTATGCAAATCTGTTATTATTTGTGTTGCTTAACAGCTTCTCTAATACAGAAGCAGTAAAGAGTGCAGGACCGTGTTTAGTTCTGGATCAGCTTTTCACTACAGTAGTTAAAGAACAGATGTTATTATGGGCCGCTTGAAGAAAAAAAAATAGGGGAAGGGACTTACTGCTGTGACTTTAATTCCATATTCACATCTTGTTACTACTTGTTATGAAACCTCATAACATGGAACTTGATGAGAAGGGGATATCTGCCAAAGTTATTTTGTCAGCCAAGTAGGTTTTGGGGTTGACATGCACCTATTTGTGTAGCTTCCTGAAAATTCCCAGCTGGAATATAACTGCTTCAGCCTTTTGTTTAATTTACTTTGTTCAAATGCTGTTTGAAGTGATGCAGTTAAAATAAGGGACACCTACTCCTTGAGTAAGTTTTGTGCTGCTGTAACAGTTACGGGAGTATTGAACATTAAGTTATGCCTGTGGAGCTAAAGCAAGATTTTTCTAGAGGGTCATCAAAAGTAAATACAATACTATGAAATGAGTTTTTGGAAAACTTAAGAACACACACACACTCATAGATAGTTTTTCAGGAGTTGCAGACAGATACGTACTTTACGAAGAGAGTTCTCCAGATATCACAGGTGAAAGAACCAATCAATGCAGAGTTACTAGTTTTAACATGATACTATGAGTAGTTTCATGTGGAGAATAAAACAGTCAAAGGCATTTTGAAGTGTACTGAGCTACTGTTCTGTGTTTTTCCAAGAAAAGCACTGTTGGGAAGAAAAGCAAAGCAACTCACAAATACCAGCTGTGAGGTTCTAATGATTTTGATGATTACATTAAATGCTACATGTTCTGCTTTTTAAACAGCTATGTTAAAGGAAGATATTGTATGAAGCTGTTGCTCTGCTAAGGTTGTAAAGCATCCCACACCCCTCCTCCCTTGTGCACAATAAAAGTGATAGTTTCTGCTTGGACTCATTCCATCTCAATTACTTTTTTTTAATATTTTTCCCCCAAAAGGACAGTGTATGTTCACTATTACTTACAATGCTACTTGAACAGAGGCCTTAGAAGAGAGGAATTGCTAACTTGCCTTGAATGAAAGAAGACTCAATACCTTCTTTGGTTACTGAACCATATTCTGAAACAAAATGAAAGAGATGAGTAAAAGGCCACCACCACTCCTCATGATTTCTTCTTGTAAAAATATAGTTAGCTTTTTTTACTCTCGCTCCTTTCTGTAGCAGCACAGCTTCAGTCTTGCTGTTGGGAAAAGGGACAGGAAATTTTTTTCTTCCATTTCCACTTAAAAGGCTTGTTCTTATATGCTAGCAGACGGATGAGAGCTGATGCGTGCTTAGGCAGAAGTGTTGTATAGATTAGGTAACCTCTAGCTTACCACAGGTCTACCCAACAATTGTACTGTGCTGGGGGTGGGACATGGGGTGCACATGGGACTGTCCTGTCTTTACTAGAATTTCTCTTGAGATCTGTTACAAGTTGTCAGATAATACTAGGGCTACGAAAAGCAGCTGAGTAGGAATGGAAAGAGCATCTACTGTTTCTGAATGTATCTGTAGCTTTTGATTCTTACAGAATGTTTTTGTCTTTTTCTACTACTGTGTATAACTGTATGTAGCTGTTAAACATTTGTCCAGAAGAACTGAACAAATAACACTGAACTTTTTTTAGTGGAGCAAAAATGCTTGTCATTTGGATTGCTGCTAGTAACACTTAGTATTCTATGATACTTCATTGCAATGAATAAACATAACGTAGTGTGACTTGAATTTGGGAACATAATATTAATGTGTAAATTTAATGTAAAAACAGAGTGTATTCTTGGAAAAACTTCCTTTTCAATTAAGGCAAATCCTGAAATGAGACTGAAAATTACTAGGAAAATTAACATCCTCCTACCTGTCTTTGACAGTCTGGTATATCTAGAAATCAAAGTGTTTACCTTGAAGTTGGCAGCTGATTCAACAGTTACAGTGCATTGCATACTATCAGCTATCCCAATTGAACAGTACACTGCTGTGTCACTGTAGGTTAGCTTTAGTTGACTACAGGACAAAGACTGTCTTCACATTCTGAGTCTTTAGGGAACTGCCTTAATTACCCAATATGCTTTTCTTAACCAAGGCCGTGACACTGCAGGGAACAATGGTATCCCCCAACAGGGGAAGTTTTTAGTTAGGATATAATAGCAGAACATCAAAAGGAGAGGTAATGGCTTTAACTTAGATTCTTGTTGAACATCTTGTTCATTAAACTACCCCTGGGGTTTTTTGGTTTTGTTTGGTGTTTTTTTTAATCAATCTAACTTCATTCTGTCTACTTCAGTTGAAGTCAGAAGCTGCCTGAATGCTTGAGGTTTGGGGGCTATGGAGGTGAAAAAGCAGCTGAGCACTCTTTGAAATTGAGAAAAGAACAGAATAACTGGAAAATTAAAAGCCCCAATGAAAAGACAAGAATGAAGTTCACAGACTTTCAGGGTAGAGTTCATATGCAAGTTTCTCATAGCTGCTTGTCCAATTCTAATAGTGCATCTTGCTTGCATAAATAAAAAGTGTAATAATATAAATAAAATAAAATACCCTGATTGTTCTCTTAAGGGCATACTATTCATATACTGGTTCTTGTTTGGTGGATGAATTAGGGCTGGAGGCTTGATGTGTGGTTGGTTTTTTTTCTTTGTTTTAGTAGAGTTCTGAACTGGGCCTGTGAAGGCCAGTGGAATGAACGGGGGGGGTGGGGGGCGGGCAACAAAAAACCAAAACAACCAACCAAAGAAAACCCACCAAACTCACCACAAACATATATATGGAATTAAAATGAATGAACAGTTCTCTAGCAGCAAAAAAAATATCTAAAATTGATTTCTCTGAAAGTTGATTCACTACATGACCCAGTTGCGTGGGGCTTCAGTTGAACCTTCCCTGTTCTATGGTTAATTACATTTTATTGCTCTATTTGTGTGTGTGCAGTTTATCTGTTGTAGTGCAGCTCAATAAGAGGGTATTTAGGTGATTGGGGAAAAACCAATAAATCTATATTTCCTTCAAACTGTAGGGTAAAATAACCTTCTTCAGTTCCATACTTTTGCAAAGTGATTTGTAAAACTTTAGTTGTCTTAAGCATGGGAATCTGTTCTCTCTACTGACTGAAAAAAAAGACATGTAGTGCAATCAAATAGATATGCAAGATAAGGGAAGCTGTTACCCTGTTTGGTGTTGGTCTTCCTGGTTTTATGTTTTGGGGGGTGGACATGACCCGACACATATTCTTTTGAAAAGAACAATAAGAAATAACAAGGACATTTGTGTGTTGGTATAAAATCAAAGTTACCTAACAGGGATTAAAAAATTTAGAAATGTAGCTAACTTGATGTAAAATGCTTTTCCTTTTTTTTGAACACAACTTCTGAGTTACATTCTTGTTTCCTTTAGATTTTCACCTGAGGAGGAATATACTTACATGAAGCAAAATACTGAGTGTATGGATAACGTGTGCAAATACATTATTAATGCAAACAAGTTGTAATTTTGTGTATTTCTGTAGGCTACTATAATAGCAAAAGTATAGACAACTGAGACTTCTAACTTATTACAAATTTTGTAATAAGAAAAATAATTTTTCAGACACAGGCTTCATGTCCTATTGATCGCAGGCCGTTTCAAGCAGTATGCAGGCTTGATGCATTAGAAGAGAAGATAAAGGTAAGTTCCAGACTTATTTTGTTAAATTACTTCAGTTGTAGGAACACCCAAGTTATGCCACAGCCTTTCATTCGTATGCCTGTGTTAAATAAGCTTTAATAATGACATAATTATTGCTTTGATATCTCTATTATGTATTTGAAGCTAGGAATTATTCTTAACTGTTTTTTCAAAGCAAGTGTTAACAGTAATAATAATCACAAAGCTGCTATTGCTGCTTTATAGTATCTTTGAGCGTTCCTGATATATCCAAGAAGAGAAGTATAGTAATTGGTCTTAAAATGTTTTTTAACCAGGTTTTGTAAACAAGTGCTTTATCAATTAGCATGCAAAATCTTGCCTTGTTTTTAAAATATTTTTTTTTAAATTCTGAGGTGAATCTGGTATGTTCACAGCCTCCAATTCCCAGAGAAAAACATATGGGAGCAAGAGGAATCAATGCTAAACCTTATTCAACCTAAATTAATGAATTTTTCACCTTTCAGCTCTTCTGAATAATACTGCTGTGGAGACTAGTTTGTCAAGTAGGAAAACAAAACTTGATTCTCATAGATGATCTTGGAAAACTGTAAAGAACAGTGCTGGCAATTCTGTGTACAGTTTTGAAGTTTTGTGGTGAAATTATGGTTGTAATTCCTAAGCTGTTGGGTTTGCATTTTGCTGTGTTTAGAAAAGAGGCTCCCACTACCCATTTCTTGTGCTGCTGGCCCAGGTAGTCAACTGCAAAGGAACCAGACTGGTAGCTGCAGATACTTCCTTCTCGTAGAAAACCATGCTAGCATATTCTATCTTCTTTATTTCTAATGAATCAAGGAAGCAGCTGAAACAAGATAAACCAAAGTTTTCATTTGGAAGAGTGTAGGGGCTTTGTCAAAATAGAGTTTTAAAGGTTCTTTATTCGTAGAACTGCAGTGTAAAAAGGTGGTCAGAGAACAAGGGTCTGGCTCTGAAAAAGAGCCACTGGAGCAGTAGGGATAGACAGAATGTGTACTGAGAAATGCTGACACAGTGGTCAATATTAGCAGGGGTGCTATCAGGACATTGTCAGCTTTCTCTTTGTGTTGTTCATAATTAGAATGCCAGTAGCTTAAGGAGTTGCATATAAAGCCAAGATTCTAGAATGAAGAAATGCAAAATACCTAATGTGAACAATTGCAATGTAACCATTGAAGTGACTTCGTAGTATCTAATAAAAATTGTATTACTTTCTTAGAATTTTGAAGATGTAACAGTGTTATATGAAATCCATATATTATTTTACTCTGGAGGAAGAGAAATTACAAGGAAGCATTTGAAATTGAGTGGTACTTCATCAGTTTCCCAAGCTTAACCTTGTGTATTCAGATCAACCAACTTAGTTTAAAAAACTTAGTTTCCAAATTCGCAATGGAAGATAGTGCATCATAGCTTTGAGATACTTGCCCTGGCAGTGTGAATGTTCAGGGATTTTTCGTCTTGTGGAATTAGTATGCCTCTCTGGCATAGCCAGTATACATATCAAGGTGGGGTTTTTTCCATTTCATGAAAAACAAATGAAAAAAAATTCAAATATGTGAACTATGAGATTAAAGAAGTAATGATTTGAAATTGAGTCCTTCTGTTTGAGCTTATTTTCTCTGTAGACCTTAAGAGTCTTTGAATGTATTTAAAGCCCATATGTATTGAGATTCTAGATTGGATTGACTTTATTTTTCAATACAGGTTCAAGTTAAAAATCAACCAAAGAGGAAGGAAGAAGAGGAAAACCGTACCTGCAGTAAGGGAAAATATAGCCATGTGAAGATGAGAAACTTTGTGAGGTTGGTCGTTTCAAGCATTCTAGTTGGAATATTCAAAATATAAATTCAACTGTTTTAAAATGTACACCCTCAAAATTTTTTTTTAAACTACGTTTATTTTAAAATAAACTTTTTTCTGTTAGTGCTAGTTTAGCTTTATTTTTGTCATTGATGTAATTCCCACTTGAAAATTTACAATAGCAAGCAGGAAGTAAGGAGCAACGTATCTCTTGCATTGAGTGAGCTCTGTGGAAGTTGCATTTTTCAAGCAATTCTGGCAAATTTCTTATTAATTTGAATTAAGATTTTATGGCTAGATCATTTTAACAATAAAAATCTTTTTCTTTGATTATTTAAACAGAGATCCCCTTTCTTGCATGTTGTCCTAAACATTGGTGATGTTCTTCTTTTACTCTAAAACATAGTTGTAGTCAAGGACTGATTTTACTCTAGTGAGTTTGAGAGGGAACTGTGGAAATACCATTCCTGTTCTGAGAACTTGTCACATTTGCTGCACTGTATAAGGGAAAGCTCAGCATTACACAGATGAATTTCACTAAATAGTGATAATCTGAAGTTAGTGTTTAATGGAATGTATGGTATGTACAGAGTTCTTGAGATTTAATTTGAAGCAGACTTCATTACAGAAAAGATAACTGGAAGTAAACTACCTTTTTTGGCTCTCATTAGAAAAGAAGATTGATCTTTGCACCCACTGTTCTGAATCACCATTGACTTTGATATTCTTCAAAATATTTATGCCAGCAGGTTATAACATCTTTCACATTTTGCTATGAAATCAAGCAAAATTAAATATTCAGATTTAATACCTATATTTACTTTTATTGTGTAAATGGATTTTCTTTTTTTCCTTCTGTAAGCTTTTTGAAGCATTGTGGCTTTTAATAACATGGAAGATGATATACATGATGCAAGTTCAGGTTTTGATAGCAGTCAGAACTTGCTTTATGTGCATTAAATAAGAATTCCTTAAAATAGGAATTTATTTTTGGGGGGTGTATACACTGTTAGCTTAAATATGCCCACAAATAACTTTTGTAATATCTTTTGTTAATCTTGCAGAAGGGCTGTATGTCCAGACAGAGGGCCATTAACAGCAAAATTAAGCGAAGTTGTGAAGAAAAAATACAGTAAGTTGGTATTTATCCTCCTCTTGCTAGAATTGATGGTTTTTATTAAGGAACTCCAGAATTTCTTTTTGTGATGAGTCAATTTAATTTTTTTTTCATTATTTACATTTGCATATGAAAACCAAATACCAAGGAATAGGAGCATGAAACTTAAGAGAACAAAATTGCAGTATGTGAGGCTATTGTTCTTATTTTGCTGGAAAGACTGCTTCTTCAATTTCAGTCACAAGTGAAATGGATTTGGTTACAGCCTCAAGTCATTTTCTGCATCACACAGTTGGTGCAAAGCTAATTACTAGCTTCTATTCACAAGAAGTTTTTTGGTGAGAGTTCAGACACAAGAAGCACTTTAGCTGTACTTTGAGGCTGCCATTTTGAGAGGCTCGTTTAATAGATATTGTTCAGTAAGTGTGTTCGTAACTTATGAAGCTAGCAAATATCTGAAGAGGTGAAAACTGATTGATACATAAAAAGCTAGTTTGAAGGTGCTTGCATTTTAATTTTACTCAGTTTGTACGTAAACACATTGAGATTACCTTTTCATTAACCTTATTGCATTAATGATTTTGACAAATGATTAAAAACTACTATGCTGAAGTTAAGATCACAGTTTTCTTCCTTATTCCACACAGATAATGTTTTGTTTGACAAACGAATCAAGAAAGCTTTGTCTGTGAAGATAAACAAGGTTGGTTCTGATAATGAAAAATTTGTGAACTTTTTTTCATTAGACTATTTTTAAATCTTCCATTCTGTTTATTTTTAAGGTTAATGTCTTCTATTTGTTAATTTTAGTGTGATCCAAACTGTATTTATTTTGTTTCTTTTTGTCCTGAAGGAAGTAATTAGAATATAGTGCTAGGTTATATGAGCTTCTCTCTCAGATTAAACTTAGTTTTGTGCTGGTAAATATTTTCAGTTAGATTGGGGTGTTAAGTTATAATATACTGTAACTACCCTGTTTTCATCTTTCTTCACCAAAAGAAGATGGTATCAGCTACGAGCTGTTAGCCAGGTACCATTATATATGAGGGATATGAAGGTTTTTGTTATTTTAATGAAAATACGTAGTTGAAATCAAGTTAAGTAATTTGTTACATGAGTAAGCCATGGACATTATAGTTTGCATCAAGTTTGCTTTGGTTTTTTTGTAATGGGATATTACTTCCAAGAATGTTTGTGTGTTCAGGTTTCTTGTTTAGTTCATAACATTTAGCCTTTAAGGCAGGCTTATAACAGACAGAATTTATAAGGAGCTCTAAAGGCTCTGTTGTTTGATTTCTGCCTTCCCTTCTTTCAAAAAATGCTCTGTATGTCTGGGACACAAGTTTGTGATCAGTGCTTTCTTATTCATAGTTGCACCTTTAAATGTATTTGCATTAAATAGTTGTAGGCCATAAATTCTGTTCTGAAGTGTGAATGTCATTGTTTTCCATCATTCTGTCTTGCCTGAAGTTTAAAAATTTGGAGGAAAAACTGTCTTCTTCAAGTCCCTGTTTTGCCTGCCTGCCTTGCCTCATGTAGTATATAGGCACATACTGCATCGTGTCTTTTCAGTAGCTGGTGGCCTGAGTTGCCACTTCTATGTGGTGCTTATACACCATAGTCCTCAGGGATATCTTTAGCTCCAGCCTTCCCCTTCTAAGTCAGATATTTACAAATTTTGGTTCTGTTACCATGTAGAGTTAAAGGTACCTTTCATTGAATTGAAGAGGTTCTGAACTGGGAGAATAGGACTTAATGGTAGATCAACCTCTGATTTGACTTCAAGGTTGGTGAATGCTTTCATATCTAGTTTCACTGATTTATTGTGCACTATTTAATAGCATTAATGTCTCAAGTGGTACCTGTTGCAAAAAAAGGTGCATATAAAAAAGTACAGCCATTAAAAACCTTTAGGAGGAGGTACAGAGCTCAGTTATCCAATAAACATTCAAAACTTTAAAGAATTTAAAAGAAAGCACTGCTTTACTAACAACCACTTGATAAAGGTATTTGTGGAATGTCTGGATACCTTTTTTAGATGGAGCGAGAAATGTTAATTTTCAAGATGGTAGTCTTTCTAAAATAAAACTTAAAACCAACAGCTTTTTAGGAGAAACTTACAATTTGCATACTGATTAAATAGGACATGTTCCCATCAAAGCCAGCTCTCTCTGCCAAAGTTTGATGGAACATGTGGATAATGACTGCATACTTGAGACATATATTTATATACATCCATTATGAAGTTTATTTTTCATCAGAGTAAATATATTCTGAAAGAAAATTATAGGAAGACTCAGTAAGATCCCATTTTAAAATACCAGTCATGGGGAATGAACAGGAATGTTTTGGTCAGATTTGAGGTGGCATTAACCCTTTAGGTGAACAGATATAAATGGCAAAAATGGGTCAGTGTAGGTAGGTCTGGTAGTCTGGGAAAAAGTGTCTGAAGGATTATTGTTCAGCTTTTTTTTCTCCTGCACCCATCCCAGTACATAGCAACAGCACCAGAGTTTACTGTACACAATGCTGAAGGCAATACGCTAGCATACAGTGGGTGGCTAGGCATTGTGAACAATTGAAATAGAAGATGGTATTTGTTGAAATATGAAGTGGATTCTGAGTATTGTGCCTTTGTGTGAGGGCCCAGTAAACAGACGCACCAGTCAATCTTCAATTTTGTTATCTTAACCTGAAACATTCGGTGAGCTGCTGTGAAGGGTTGTGTCTGTGCTGGGGCTCTACTTACTGTGGTTCATTAGGTAGCAGAAATTGGAATTGTGAAATAGTAAAGATCAGACTCATCTATTTATAATTTCTGTATGGAGCACTAAAGATTTTGCCATGGAAAGCCTGTATACAATATAAAGTTTATCTGCAAAGTGCAGGTGTTGAAAATGTAGAGACTGAATAGAGTAAATTTGCTTGCTGTAACTGCAAATCTCAGTATATAACTATGTAGCTGCTATGGTGCCTGCTTTTTGTGAGCTAAAGTCTTGCTGACATGATTTAATTTCAGTGCTTCTTCATGTATTAAATGGTAATTACTTTCTTTTGGATGTCTTTAATTCATAATTTTTTTTTTTTGTAGCCCAGAAGACAGACCTGTTGGAATGAGTGCTTCAGAACTAATTTCTTCAGCACACTTATGGCCGGTGGTAGTAATGAAGAATCCTTTTTTAGCTGTAGAAATGACTGGTTAGTATATACTAGGGCTTAATTTAAACTGATGGGTTACTGTATTGTAGATGCTATAGTTCCTTTTGCTTCTGTCTGAATATACTGCCTTGAAATATTTTGAAGACTGACTGGGTTTATATTCATTGATGAAGAGCAGTTAAAGGATAAATGCAAACATTTTTAAATCAGTATCAAGGGCACACGCTGTTCAGCATTAAAATACTTAAGTGTGTACTTTTTATTGGTTTAACAGGAGTTAATAAGCTCTATTTTTAGCTCATATTTAAACTCTTTGCTGAATGGAAGCCTTGGATGGGAAAAGGTTAATCCTGTTATTACAACAACAGTTAGCAAAACAGTAAATATGCTGTTTTGTATCAGAAACAATCTTTGTTATTGTTCCTTGACTCCCAGAGGAATACTTTAAACATACATGAAGCAATTTTGCTTAATGAGCCTAATACTTAAGAATGGGTGTAAAAAAAAATATTTTCTGGTTGAGAAGATGAAAGAAAAAGATTGGTATAGAAGAATGTTATTTGGATTATATAGCCTAATCAAAAAAATTGTTGTGTCTATATGTTTTCAGTATTTTGTAAATGAAAAAAAACTTATTGCCATGAATGCAGCAGTATGAATTTATCAAGGATGCAAAGTTTCTCCATCTTTCAACTCCCCAGAGGAAACATTTCATCTCCTATTTTCCATTCTGTCTGCCTCATTGATTTAGGACTTCTGTTATGTTTACTATGACTTTTCCCCTCTTAAGCAATAACCATGCATATTTTCAGTGTGACTGTTGAAAGTTCTAATACAGCTATAAATGAAAAAAGGTCATTGATAGCAGCAGTTATCAAAATACAGAACTGTCATAGCACAAAGTTACTTTTTTTTGTAACTTTTTGTATGAAATTTATATTTCAGTACAGAATTCACAGAAGTCAATGCAGCGATCAGACAGAAGAGACAAGAACTGGAATTGTCCTGTTCATCTGTGCTTGCTAGAGTTGAAAGGTATGTTTTGAGTTCATAGTGCAAAGGATCTTAATATAATAGCTCAAGTTTGTAATTCGATTAATTCAAATTGCTCTTTAGATAGAATATAATTTGATCATAATTAAATAACGTTTGCATTTGATTAGCTGAATTTTTGTGTTTGCTGCATGCTATTCGTATGTCAATAGATTCTTTCCTGTATATCTTACTACTTTTTTGATACTCACAACAAGCATAGGAGCTCCACTGACTTGTGCATCTTAATGTCACTTTTTCACAGAAATGCAACTTTAAATATATTTTTCTATGTGGAAGCTAGTGTTCAATGTGCTTTTTAAATTATTTCTATCATTAGAAATCAGCCTACATTTGCCTTAACATCAGTCTGATTCTGATTCCCCCTGCCCTTGTCCTCCCCTGTCATGGGTTGGTTCTAACACTGCTTTCCATAATTGCGTTTAGAAAGGGCTAAGAGGGGTTCTATCAAATGAAACAGAGAAAGTAGAATTTTTTTTTTTTCAGAGAGCAGATGTGTGTTAAAACATACCATAAGGATGTTTTCATTAATATAAAGCAGAAGCATAAAAATAACTGATATTAAAATAACACAGCAAGAAATTGATTCTGTCTGTGATCTTAAGCTCACTACACGTCTCTTTACTCTCTTTGGCATAAAACAAAGACAGAAGAGCAAGTAAAGATATTTTTAATTATGATTAACTGTTGCACCTAGGATTTAAATAATATACATTTTTGTACATGTACTTTTCCTTATGGAAAGTTTCATTCCAGTTCAGTGATAACTTAAAAATTTAGACCTGTAAATTCTGTTTTCAGCAAGGTTTGCTGAGGGAGTCTGAATAAGTATATGTTTCTTTTGTATGTTAAAAAAAAAAAGCCTTTACTTAATTTTGTGTAGACTATTTCTCTTTTTTTTTTTTTGCAGAAATGGCTATTCTGCTGAAGTACTAAATCAGTGTTCAGAATTTATTTTCTAGTAGTATAGCCTACTAATTTGGAGTAGACTGTTACAGTTCTGTTTGACTTGGAAGAAAGCCAAATTTATATTGCTTTAACATAACATACCTTGTTCAAACTGTTTTCTTAGATTAGGCCTTCATATAAGCCTGAAATTAAATAAGAGAAGGAAAGTTCTGTTCTCTGTCAGCTTTGCCTTGCTCTCCAGCTGATGGGGTTGGAAGTATCATGGTTGCCTAGTGTTTTGGCTTTGTGCATTGTTTCCTAAACTTGCTACAAACAGCTAAAATGACTGATGTTAATGCTTTTATTTTTCCAGAATTCCTTTAGTGTCTTATGGAGCTGAAGCTGAGACCTTTCTTCTCACTTCTACTATGGTGGCAGGGGCAATTCTTCCAACAAATATCAGGCCTTTGGAAAACTTTGGTAAACTTTTTTTTTGTAAGTTTTATTTATAGCTTATGTGGAGTATTGTTAAAATATGATTCTCAGAAATCAAAGCAGAGTATATAGTTACAGTCAACAGAAAAAAATCTGGTTTGATGCAGTTTGGTACTATTTCAAAACCAGCTGGTTTATTTCTGAAATTAGACTATAGAAGATGAATTCGACACCCCAAAACTGGCATAACTGTTCTTCATTTTAAGATTAATTCCATTTCTACATTCCGCACTTTCTTTCATGTTGCAACTTCTTTTCCTGTTGTTCAAGGATTAAATCTCATTTTGATACATTATGAATTGCTTGACATATTTCAGTGGTATATTGTGCAGAGTGTGAGGAACAAACTATTTCCTAACAGAGAAGAAGACTAGTCAGGAAACAGTGTAGTGTATGGATCTCCTTCAGTATGCCTGCAAGCCCTGTGGGGAAAAACTTGCAAAGGTGCTCAAGCTCAGAGTCTGTCAGGAATTTAGCAGAAGACAAAGAAATGGAAGGAATTACCTTCCTCCAATTGCTTTAACAGCCTCTCTCTCTCTCTCTCTCTCTCTCCATACTCAGCAAGAATTTAGTTTCTCTTCCAACAGGCTGCACAAGTTGAAAGAAGTGAAAACAAAGGAGTGCTGTTTTTAAGGATGGAGATAATACCTTCTTTGAATGGGGGACTTGTACTACTTTCACTTGACTAGTAGGCAAAGAGATGGGAGAGATTTGGGTCTCTTGGCTTACCAAAATTGTGAGGAAGTAAGTGAATTGCTGGAAAGAGTTAAGTACTAGAAGGATCATTATTAGAAAGATGCTTTAATCATTCATTTTCTGTATTCTTGTTAAAGGTACTTATTTCACCTCTGCTTTCCCCAGTGACAAATTGATAGGTTGCTTCCTCAGGCCTCTGATGCTTAGCAGGGCAATTTAACTGATGCTTAGCCATTTCTGCTTCTAGTAGTCATGAGTATACATGCTGGCTCATGTCTCTTGACTTCCCTTTACCTTTCTACTTACGCAGTCAGGCTTCTTTGTTAATATGCATCTGAATAATTTAAAAAATGAAAAACCAATAAGTTTTTTTTGCTCTCGTCAGAAAGACAAAGAATAGTTAAATAAGCTCCAAATTTATTTTTCAATATTAGATTATTTAGAACATGTGAGTAGTTGCTGTTGATAATATCAGCAACTGGTCTACAAATACTGATAACATTGTCAACTTCTAAGGCAGAACATGGAACTAAATCCCTTATGATATCTTTTGGGAGAGGTGGAAGATTTTGAGTTTGAGTCTTGCCAGAACAAGAGAAGGAATTTTTTTTCAGATATTTTTGTTTTAAAGATTATATTTAGAACAATATTTTCTCATTTGTTGTCTTGTTTATATAAGCGTTCTACTTTTTCTCTTAAAGGTGGGATTTTGAAATGTGAAATTATTGAGCTAACAAGACACAGCAAATACATTAATTTATTTTTGTATGTTTCCATATGTTCTTGCTACACATAAACTAAAGTGCCGATGTTTAATATAATATAATATATTATTTATACTGTGGACAAAGTGGAAGACAGTCATCGAGATTGAATCTTAAAACATTGTAGTATGTTGACACTAAAGTTTTAAGTCATCAAGTTTGACTTAAAGATTTCATACTGGTAAGAAGCATGCAGGAAGTATGACCCAGAGTCTTCAAATCCTTGTGAAACTAGGGATTGTTGGATATAAAGATGTCCCTTGAGGATTTTGGTCACATTCTGTTGAGTGAGCATTTCTTCCCCGTTCAGTTTTTATATAGCAGCTGAGGAAAAGGCAGACATGCACCAAAAAAGGTAAAGACAAAAGCAAGGAGAAACCTAACCTGAATACGTTAAGAGATGCATGGCAAATATATATATAGGAGAGTGGAGCAAGGCCTTCTCTTACAGGAAGTATGAGAGATGAAGGAAAAGGCAGAAGATGCAGGAAACAGAGGGGACACCGGGACTTTCTCCAAAGTTGGAGAACAGGAGAAAAATTAAGAAAATGCTGAAAATACACACATAGGGAAAAAAAAAGGCAAACTGGATCTTGTGACTTTTTTTTCTAAATTGTGCCTGAAAGATGGTTGCATAAGCATTTTTTAAATTTTATTTTTACACATCCCCCCATATCTTTGTCACACCTAAAGTGTACAGTTTTGCATCAGAGTAGTAGTTGACAGTTGCTTCCATAGTTGTTCAAGGAGGCATGCAAATACAGTGATGGTCATGTAACTGTGTTGTCTGAGTCTTCCGTGTAGATGCTGCAGTTTTTTAGATTCTCTTACCATTAAATGGTCTTTTTACTAATTTGACCTGCTTTAATGAGTCTACAAATACTGTTCTGATTTAGGCTGGCATTATGCAGTTCTTCTGTGTGATTAAGATATTTTTAAATAAAGATTCAGTGAATTGAGATGCCTTGTACTCGGTTAACACTCATGAAGCTTGTCCATTAAAATTTTACATCTAGTAAGGAATGCTAACAACTAGTAAGGAGTGCCAAAAAGAGGCTTGTGTTTCACAAGTAGACTTTGAAGGTGCCACATAAATAACTTGCCTTTTAATTCTGTCAGGATTCACACAATCTATTTGTATTCTGAATTTTTGTTATTGCAGGGTGATTTCTTCCCCATTTAAGAAAATGATCACAGATGTTGTATATCATTAGAAATTTTTAGTATCTGACTTGTTTTCCTGGCTATTGTAATAGATTTGAATATGTAGTTAGTCTGAGACAGCCATGTGTGCCTGAATAACTGCTGGTTAACCCCTGTGAAGTCAATTCCTAACAAAATTACTGGGGAGACTGTTACAGTAGATACCTCAAATAGGGCTAGTCACCTAAAACTCCTTTGGAAGTTCTTTATACTACGCACATGGTTTTCTTTTAAATACAATCAATACCATTGGTTTTCATTATCTTAAGTAATAATTTGATCAGTGGACATCCAAAAACCAAAACTAGATTGGGTTGGTTATTTTTTTTAATGTTTAGTGAAATTATTGTGTTTACAAGGGAAGTCAGAGGACATTATTATAATCCTGTGCTCTGCTCTAGCCTTTTAAAAGCTATTGAGGTGCTTGTGGAGTTACTGCTCTAAGGTTTTCAGATAATAAGTTTACGTTTAATAGACAATTATATGTTTTTGATTCTGCTAACAAAGTAGTAAGCAGTAGAAAGAAGATTTTGTCCTGTTACATACTTGTCTTATTCCTATCTGATTTTTATATAATCTGTTCAAGAATACATTTAACAAACATGTAGTGCAGTAAAAGCGTGGGAAATAATGTTATACAGAGAGTTAGAATCAAGAGTCAAAGTGTGATGTAATAAAGTCATTGCAAAATCCATAGAAATTAATCTTTCTAAGCAAGTTTCTGCTTTTTTGTGAAAATGAAGCTGTAAAGAGTTAAACACCAGATTCGTGATGCTTTCTAAAGTCTACACAAAGTATGAAACATATTAATGGACAGACATCTCAAGAAATTATCTCTGAAGCACTAAATTCAAGTATATTTGCTTATCACTAATTGTTAATTCCTGAGGTGCCCCTCATAAGCTTTTTTAGGTGTCAAGAGTTCCCTTTGTAGGGAAGCCAAGGGCTATATTCACTGGAAAGACATATGTCAAATGTGAATAGTGAGTAATAAATTAATACAGTATCTGTAGAAGAGCCTCTGTGCTGCTGTGTGCAGCTTAAGGTCATTCCTCTTACAGCTTTATGTTTTTTGATGCACCCTAGGCTGCCCCAAAACTTGCACTCCTTATTCAGTTTGTTAGGTGCTGCAGACATCCTGGGTACCTTGTGGCAGAGCTCAAGTCCAGTTTGCTGTGGAGCATGCAGGGTCTGTCTTATAACTGGTGAATGAGTTTGCACTGTCTGAAATTAAATTTTGTAGAGAGGTATGCTTTTATTGCTGCTTCTGTTCAACTGCTTCCCACATGGTCATCCACTGATGGCCATTTAAATTGTAACTTTCTGTAGTATTGATCTTTGTTTCCATAGTATTGAGGCTTCACTGCCAACAGGCCTGCATTTTGGAATGACGGAAACTGCTATATGCTCACAATGTTGTGTGGTTAATTCCTTACTTTTCTCAACAGCTTAAATACTGACTGTCTTTGAACAACAATATCAATAGCGGTTTCATTGTGAAGGCCATTACTGTCCCTGTAGCTGTGCTGGCACTTCTAAAATGTGTTTGAATGTCTAACGTGTCTCTTTGTTAGTTTGATTCTGTTCTTTAAAGTCTGCACTGAAAAAAAAGTCATGGCAACATTTCATACTAAATCTTACATTGTATTATTTGAGGATATCTGTTAAACCAGAGAAGGGTTAGGGTTAGGTTTATGTTCTTAACTGTGTTTGGATAAATGGTTATGATCAAACTTGAATGTATTCTGCTTTTGTCAGAAACTTTAGGCAAAGGATATGCTGTCGCATGTACGCAAGAAGGAGAAGAGAAAAAGCAAGCTTCGGGTTCATCTGGAACTAGAGGAACTAGAAGGAAATCAGTTAACACTACTCCTAGAAGAAGGTCTACACGGAACAGCAAAAATGAGACTCTTGGTCAATCTCGGAGCTCACCTCGGACAAGCAGTTCTGCGTGTGGTGCCTCTGATAGCAATAACCCATCTCTCAATAAATCTCCTCCAGGATCAGAGAATGCTCCTCCGAAACGGAAGTCTAAAAGAACAGTTAAACAACAAACACCTGTGGTTAAAAAGAAACTGAGAAGTTCTGCGTGTTCTGAAAAATTGCCCAGTGATTCAGTGGAAGATGATGACATTGCTGAGTCTGAAGCAGTTGTAACATTAGATAAAGACCAGCAGTCAGATAATGAAAGCAATAACACAAGCCTTCTACAGAAAAATAAGGCAGAAACAGAATCTGCTAATGGATTGGAGAGCTGTAGTGAACATGCAGGGACTGGAGAAACTACAGGAGAATGTGACAAAGATGAAGATACTTTAGGCAACATGGATGTAAGTTTTTCTGTCCAAGAACCTCCAGTGCTAACTTCAGAGGGCGAAAGTCAGAAATTTGAAGTAAAAGTTGTTACTGAAAAAAATGGAGATCATAAGAATCAGGACGTCTGTGAAAATACTTTTGGACAAATGGAAACAGTAGCCAGTCACAGAGATGAAGTATGTGACCATGCAGCTTTTTCAAAAGTAGATCAGACATTGTGTAATCCTCAAAATGAATTGATGGAGAACATAGAAACTCCAACAAAAATTGATCAACCCATAGCTAGTCCAGAAAATGAATTGTTGGAATATCCAGAACCGTTGGGAAAAGATCAGCCATTAAAGAGCCCCAGAAGCAAATTATCTGAGCATCCAGAAGCCACAGAAATAGATTATTCTGAGGCTGAAGAGAAAACAGTAGAAGACTGTGCAAGTACAAATATTCAGAACTTAAAAACTGTTAAAGACGAAGAACCAGATACATTAATACACAATATTTCCACAGACAGTACATCAGAACAATCCTTAAAAGAGAAGACCATGCCAGAAAGTGAAGAGGGTAGAACTTCAGAGTCGCCTCAGGTAAATGCTGAACATAAACGTTTTGGTGAAGATAACAATGAAATGATACCAATGGATTGTGACTCATTTTGCAGTGACCAGAATGAACCTCAGATTGAGCAGTTACCACCAGGTGAAAATATAGAGCAAGGAGAAGTGAACTCCTTACAGTGTGATACGGGAAACTGTACATCAGTTTCAGGACTTTCTGATGAAAAAGGTGAAACTATTCCTCAAGAAAAGGAGTGCCAGTCCGAACTCAAAAAAGATAAAAAGCCTCGAACTAGAAGGTCTAGGTTTCACTCTCCATCAACAACTTGGTCTCCTTCTAGAAGAGAGGGCAGGAAATCTCAATCACCATCCCCTAAAAGGGAGATGACGAGAGATAGGAGCTCACGATCACCCAAGAAGGAAACTGCGAGGGAGGGAAGGAGATCTGTATCTCGTTCTCCGAAGAGAGAGACACTTAAAGATGAGAAAAAAACACCACCTCGATCTCCCAAAAGGGAATCTGTCAGGGAAAGCAGAAGATCGTCTTCTCGATCAAGAACTAAGGATTCATCTCCAAGGCAAAAATCTAGATCTCGAAGCAGTGATAGAGATAGTCAAAGAAGAGATCGTGACAGAGAAAGAAGTAGGAGGTGGTCTAGGTCACGGTCACGATCTAGGTCAAGGTCACGATCTAGGACAAGAAATAAAAGTTCTTCATTCTCTAGAAATGAGAGGGACAGTCATTCACCTCGATGGAAAGAGAGATGGGCAAATGACAGCTGGAGGAGTCCCAGAGGAAATGATCGATACAGAAGAAGTGATCAAGAAAAACAGAATGAAAGTCTTAAAAAAGAAAAGGACAGTACAGAAAAAAACAGTGGTGATCAGTGTTCTTCAGATAAGCGAAGGAATGATTGTCCAGACTGGGTAATGGAAAGGATAAACTCTGTTCCTGAAGCCAGGAACAGAGAGAGAGATAAACCACATTGGGAAGATGGCAGGCATGATAGTACAGGACACTCTTGGAATAAAAACTTTGGCTCAGGTTGGATTCCGAATCGAGGAAGAGGTCAACGTGTCCGAGGTGGGCGTGGAAGAGGTGGTTTCATGTATGGAGACCAGAGTGAAAATCACTGGCAAAGTAGAAAACCTCTCTCAGGGAACTCAAATAGTTCTGGGAATGAAACTTCAAGGTTCTCAGAACATCAGCCATACAAGCGTAAGAATGAACAAGATTATTCTTTTGATACACCTGCTGACAGATCTGGGTGGACATCTGCATCCAGCTGGGCTGTAAGAAAGACTTTACCTGCTGATGTGCAGAATTATTATTCAAGAAGAGGACGCAATTCATCAAGCCCCCAGTCTGGATGGGGAATGAGACAAGAAGAGGAGACACCTGAAGAAGGTATTCATAGTTTCAAAACATAAAATCTTAGTCACAGCTGCAGTAGCCAAGTAAAGTCCTAGTCGCATTGACCTATCTCGAGTTGATTAGTTCTTCAAAATAATTCAAGGTGAACCTCTAGTCTTTTTTGCAATATGGAGGTTTGTAGGTATGGAGTTTGGGGATTTCTTGCTTTATGATGGTTTTTTGATTTTTCTTAAAGTTAGACGGAATTTAAGGAGTACACATCTGAAGAGTGCTACTTAAGTAAATTGATTTGTTTGAAGAGAAAGCATCTCCTCCTCATGGTAACTTTTAGCATTTGCATGCCTTTTAAAGAGAATATTTTTTTTCAAGGAGATTTGCATTTGCCTGTGCAGACCCACAGTAGATTCTAGAGATAACAAATCCTCATGTTGATGTTTATCTTGCTTCAGAATAAACATTTTCTTCTTTATGTGCTTAAAAAATCCAGGGAGATTTATAAATGCAATGGTATTTTTACTGTACTTCAGCATCAAAATTCCTCTAAAGCCTCCATAGAAGTCTAGTGTTCCGGAGTATTTTATATCTAAAAGGTAACTGCCCTGACAGAAATAAAACTTTTTGGTAGAACTGAGGATGAGGTTGATTCTGAATAGGTAAGTCATCCACAGATTATTAATGCTCGGAAGTAAAAGACAGATGTGAATTTTATTTTAAAACTGTAAAATCCAGTTCTGAAGAAACCACACTTGCACTTTCCCGCTGTCTCCTTGTTTTGTCTTAAAACTCATTTTTAATCCATTTTCATCTTATATGCCAGCAGTTTTCTCCTTTGTTTCAGAGACAACTGCATCAGTGGCTTCTTAGTTTTGAGGCAACTTTGTCAACCTTTGGTCTGCTACAGGCAAAATTTATCAAACCTTTAATTAAAAGTATTGTGTGATTTGCAGCCTTTTTTTTCCACATAGTTCAGGAACAATCACACTACTGTATTCACTTTTGGAATGTGAATTCATCTGAGAATAGTACAGTAATCTCTCAAAACTGGATGAAGCAGGCTAGGTTGGCATCATGAGATGGTCCTGGGCAAAATGGGCCTGGACAACATGCTTTTGCTGACCCTGCTTGAGCAGGGCAGGTTGGACTGGATGATCTCAATAGGTGCCTTCCAACCTCAGTGATTGTGTCGTCCTGTGATCTTTAAAAAAAGGTGATTTGGGGTGAGGCATAAGGGTTTAAATCCCAATCCCTGAATTAGGTGACAGGGCTCCTCAAGGAGGGGATTCTAAGGCAAGAACATACATCAGCCATTTCTCAGAACTAATTTCTTGGCTTTTGGAAGGCTTGCTGCTTGTATCTAGACTTTAATTTTTTGGTTTTTGTTGAAGATAGAGTAATTTTTTCAAGAAGTGCCTATGCTTTACCTTTTGTACCATTACAGGGTTTTTTAACAACTCCTTACGAATAGTAACATCTTTCTTTGAAATTGATTGAAGATGATTTATTAACCAGTAAGGAGAAAAAAAAAAAATCAGAGTATTTCTGTAGTTACCAGAAATGGCGACAGTGAGTGTGTGTGAATCAGGCAACACAGAGCAGACCCTTGCACATGTGATAACGTATGACTATGTTTCTGCAGTTGCAGAAGCCAGATAAGTTACGTTGTCTTCCTGCTCTTTGGGAGAGAATTGCTGTTTCATTGCGATTATATAATTTATTAGCTGTGCTGCGGGAACAAGTAAAGAGAAATTCAAAATGCAGGCTTCCATAGTCACCTGAACTTTTTAAACTCAGAAACTAGCATTTGGCTCTGTGGCATGTCTGGTGATGACAGCTGCATAATAATGTAATGCAGTATCTTTAAAATGTTCAGATGATAGGAAGCCTTTTGATACTTCATAGTTCCTGAAGAGTTTAGACACCTGGCTCCACTTTTGCTTTATAAAGTACAGATTTTTCTACTTCATATATTCTCTGTTTCTTCTTTTGATAGATCCAAACCTCAAAGATCAAGGCAACCAGCAAAGTGATGGTTCTCAGTTACCAATAAATATGATGCAGCAACAAATAAATGTAATGCCACAAGTGAATGCACAGCACCAACCTATGAATATCTTTCCATATCCAGTGGGTGTCCATCCTCCCATGATGAATATGCAACGAAGTCCTTTCAACATCCACCCTCCAATGCCCATCCATCTCCCTACTGGAGTGCCTCTCATACAGGTAGCTGCTCCCACAAATTTGTCTCAGGGATTACCTCCGCCTCCACCTCCACCCCCACCATCTCAACAAGTCAACTACATTGCCTCACAGCAAGATGGAAAACAATTGCAGGTATGCTTTATCAGAAGCCGTGGCAAGAGCAGTGTTGAAGTAACATCAGTTAAGGGTTTCTTATATTGAATACCATAGTCTTGATAAATTTATACTTGCAGTTTCTTTCTTTCTTGCCTGTCTTCCACCCCATACCAAATTTAAAGTGGAAATACCCATGAGGATATGGGTTGTTTGGGGGCTATAGCCTTTAAATAATGATGCACAACACCATAACTGGGTTTTTTGTGGTAATGAGGTTTTCCAACTGGTAATGAAACACTGAAAAATTTCATCATTGTTGTCCATTACCTTTTTCTTCTTTGAAGTGCCCTGTTTCCAAAACTAAGCTTTCCCCTTCAAAATCTGATTTTTAAGCTTTAGGAAGTGCTTGAATCCCCTCTCAGCAGTGTGTAGGAAGTGACCTCAACCTCCTTGCTACAGTTCTCATCCCATGGGGTGCATCAGCAGATGAAAGTTATCAAATGTACTGCATGGCACCCATTTGTTCCGCACTTCCATTCTCCAGCTGTCACTATCTCAGCGGCTTCCCCACACACACATTTTCTATTCTGTTTAGTCTTATGAGATTTTTTTGTTAATAATTTCCAAGCTTTCTTTGGTATGTTTTACTTCCCTGTTCTTGCCTGATTCTCCTGTTTTTGCATGCCCTGTTTGAGACCTAACTCCCACTTCGTTTCGCCAGTTTCAAAAAGACTGTCTTGCTTGGGGAGGTCAGACCATTTTTTTTGTGTCTTTCAAGATATCTTGAAACAACCTTTGTGTATGTGAGCTCCTCCTGTACCCAGCTGTTTATATCAAGAGCTTTTTATATCAGGGAAAGGAATATGAACAACTTCCAGGAGAATGCATTGCCCTGCAAGGAGATGTAATGGTGCATCTTTGATGTATAAAGGGCTCTTCAGGGTTTCACTGAGGTTTGTGCTTTTCTTTTGTTGCAGGCTGCCTGCTCTAACCTAAAATGCTTTCCCCTGCATTCCAGGTTGAAAAACTGATGTTCTAGAACAATGATTTCCAGCCCTCTATTTTCATGTATCATCTCTAAAGATTTGAAGCAAACTGATTAAATGGCCTGCATTCTTTTCACTTTCAACTGCTGTTATCCATTCATATTCATTAACTTAGCACAAAAGGAGTTAAGTACTGTGGGAAATACTGAGTGGGGTTACAGGCCATATGAAATACTTTAATACACTGCAAGGTAAAACAGTAAGGTACTATTGGAGCTAAAATGCAGGTAGATGGCAGGTAGTGTTAACTTGATTAATGCCTGCTGTCTGAAATTAAAATATTTTCACAATTGGAATTTCTGTGGGTTTAACCTCCAAAAATGTAACCAGTCAGAACATAGGCTAGAAACCTCTGTGAAATATAGTATCTAGTGCAGCAATGAATACTTTTCTATAAAGATTGTGTATTACTCCAAAATACAGTTATTTGCTAGCAACAGATATAATGGGTTTCAGTCTTACCTCCTTTTGTGGAATGGTGTCCATGAACCTGAATCCTCTTGGGAGCTGCTGCTGCTTTTTCTTTGAGCTTGCATTAAGCAAGTCCCTGGTGGTAGCACAATACAAACTACTGAATAGTGTGGGGACTCCACCTGTCCTTGTTGAAAGGAGGATAAGGAGAGCTCACTAGCAAGCGTTAGCATACTGATTATAACAGATCAATATCTGTGTCCTTTCCAAGGTGCTCAAATTCCTGTTTCATTATTTTCCTTCTGAATACAGACGTGAAAAAAGTAATGGTGATTACCTGCAAAAAGTAGCGTTTAGGGTAGCCTTGCAGAAGCATGCCGGGAGGATGCATTCTTGGCTTTTGCTAAAAATGACCTCTATCTGAGGTCTGAGAGCTGATTAATTTCTCAATTCCAAAGTGTTGACAGTGCCTGTGGTCTTTTGCTGATGTTTGGAAATGTACAGAAAATGGCTTTTCCTGAAGAATGGATCCTGGTGTTTCAACCAGCGTTTCACCTCTAGCCTGACTAGACTTGTTAGGTGTGTTTGCATTTGAAATTCATTCACAAGTACAAGCTCATAACAAACATGAAAGTAAATGTTTTCAAAGTTGTGATGCAGCAATTGCAAGTGGTGTTTAAGGTGATTTTTTAGGTGCTGATTTTTTAAAAAATGTTGATAACAGGGCTTCCTATACGGTTCTGCAGTCATAAGGTTCCTTCCCCTTGTGCTAACACCCTCCGTGCCTGTTTGCAGGGTACTTTGCTTCATCACTGGGATCAGAGCAAGAATGTAGCAACCACAGTGGTGACACGGAGGATGTTTTACTTCTCGAGCTTTGGGTTTTTTTCCCTTTGAGTAGGTCTGATATAATGTCTGTACCCTTCCATAATAATGGACAGTGTGGAAATTAGCTAATGAACCAAAGCATGTAGTATTGATGCTCTTCCTATAGCTGCAGAGACTTCTAGAAAGGCACATTGTCATCATAAATGGTAATGTATTAACTACTGATAACTTTTTAAAACAGGGTATTCCAAATGCTGCTCATGTAAGTAATAACATGAGTGCTCCAGCCTTGCCTGCTCCGACAGCAGTCCTGGGAAATGTGGGAGCAGTTCAGGGACCAAGTTCGGGTAATGCAACATCGTCAAGTCACATCAAGAGCTCTAATGCAGCTGTAAAATTGGGAGAAAACAAAGCAAGTGTGACAGTGGAAGCTAGTGCAGATAGCTCGAAGAAGGACCAGGCAAGTTCAAAGTTCAGAATCTACTTATATATACCATTTTATATATTTCTATATAAGATATATATACAAACTGTATATATTATGTATATATAAATTTTGATATACTAAAAAATATCAAACTATGACAATACCCCTCCTGTGTCATATACTTGATACCATCATATATATTATATTTCTGAGGCAGCTGTAGGACATAAACTAGCAAGCTGACTCTTTTTAATGTATGTAGTCTTCTTTAAAGCAGCACTGTTACGAATATTACTTTAATTGCTGTGAAACAGCACTCTGTCCCACCCAGACAGCTCTCATAAGAGCTAAAATGTTAGTGAGGGGACCGTGGTTTTCTAGTCTTCTGTAGTAATTTTTTTCTAAAAAGTTTTTACTTTATGATTGATAAAAAGATACATATGCTGTCAGTGAAAAATAACACTCAAGTTTGTTTTTTCATCAGAAATTGTTAATTCAAGAAAAAGCGGCACAAGAGGTCAAACTAGCTATTAAACCTTTCTACCAAAATAAAGACATCACTAAGGAAGAATATAAAGAAATTGTACGGAAAGCTGTAGATAAAGTAAGTAGATCTAGTAATCTGAAATGGATACGTTTCAATTGAGATAGAGATTGGGGTGGATTTCTTAATCTAATGAGAACAACTGGTAGTTGCTGGGAGGGGGAACAGGGAAAGCAAAAATACCTTCATCTTTCTCCATCCACGAGAGATTTCTTAGCTCCTCAGAACGTAACTCATTTATTGTGTAAAAGAGTTGAATGGGAATTTAGAAGTATTTGGAAAGCAACTGGGAAGTATTAGGAGTTTCCAAAGTTGTTCTGCTGGAGATGGAAAAAACTGAGGCATTGGGAAAAATATTAAATTATGTGGAACAGTGACAAATCAACAGAAATGTTTTAAATTTTTTTTTTTTCTTTAAAACTGTTGTAGGTTTGTCATAGCAAGAGTGGAGAAGTTAATTCTGCAAAAGTGGCAAATCTAGTGAAAGCGTATGTAGACAAATACAAACATTCACGGAAGAAAAATCCTGAAGAGGCAGTCTCTTGTGAAAGGAAATAGAACATGTTTTCAGTTTTTAATTTTATTCTATCTGTAAAGTGCAATTTCAACATGAACTGTTAACTGAAAATTGTACATGACTGATTTGAATCTGGTTTTGATAAAATTATTTTTCAATGTAGTATATAATGTTTTGTTCTAAAGAAATACAGATCTACAGGGCAACTTCTTTATTCCTTTTTAAAAGCAGATGTCTAAAAAAATAAAGGTGTAAAGAAGAATCATTAGGAATGTACGATTGTGTGGATACTTAGATGTACAGCATTTTGACTTGAATAACAGAGTGCATTAAATTAGAAACTTCTGAGTCCATTGGTTTTGGAACAGGTATGTACAGTACATGTAATCGGTCAGATTAAAGTAAAATTTTTCTTTTGATTTCTCCCTTATTATAGCAAAGATAAAATAACGTATTGCCTTGACAAATATTTCTAGTGTTAACTGGACAGGCTGAATGCAGGGGTCACAATGTGTATATAAAAAAGCATATGGAGTTGTCTGAACAGAAGAACTGTTTAGATTTTAAAAAGAAAAACCATAAACAGTAAAATGCAGTGCCCAGAACCATAGGCACTGCACATCTGTTGTAACACCAAATAAAAATTATGCTGCTTGGTTTTGTTTGTGATGTTCTTCAATTTGTTTCAAGGTAGTGGGGTGAACTTGAATAATTTTATGTGCTGAAATCCCTCAATCACCACACACTGACAACCTCCGTTCATGTCTAACCCTGCCTTTAGCTAGTAGAGAATTAGTGTGCTACAGCTGGATCTTCAGGAGCATAAACCTGTTTCTTCTTCAAGTAAAATCAGGAAATCTGGAATTTGTTACTAGGCTCCCGGTTGATCGGAGACCACCAGTTGTGCCAATCTTGGCTGCTGCATACTACTTTTCTTTGTTAACTAGGGACTGTAGCGTGGATCACCAAACTGCTATCACTGAATGTGCACAAGCTGAAGCCATGTGCAACAGCTTTTCTACTTCCCCCAGCACTTTTGTGTAGAAAGGATAGCAGAGGTACTACAAGCATTTTGAAAGCAGATGTGGGGAATGCTTACACTTGAGGTAAAACCAGTTTTGCTGAGGTAGCAGCAGGGAAAGTTGCTGAAAGGGTATCATCACCATGTGCTCCTTATAGCTTGGGATCCTTCCAGACTGAATGGGGAAGGAGCCTTGCTCTGAGATAGAAATATTTGTTCCCTTGCTCTCAGACAGCACTGTTAAAATTTCAGCACTCCCCCTCCAGTCCTGCCCTGTGGTAACAGCCTTTGGTGTTGGCTCAGCCTGGATTCCATTCCAGCCCAAAGTCTTCTGTCCCAAAAGCGTGAATATAAACCATTTTCACAAAAGTAGCAATTGAGTTTTCTGAGAAACTCTCTTAGCAGCCAGTACCCAAATTAACTGTTCTTGGCAAAAAAACACAGTTTTACCCTGTAAGTAACTTTTGCAGAAGCCTGAGAATGAAATAAGGGATATACACCCCTGTACACACATGTGATTATAGAGAGAATATATACATGTAAAAAATGTGATGTTTGTCACTTGGTTTTAACTATAGCTTTCTACAGACTTAATGAAGCATTTGACTTTCTATATTTATTTTTGTGTGCCTAAATAAAAATGCTATGTAAATTAGAAACAGATATAATACATTTTCTACAGTCCAAGCCAGGTTTTAGATTTTTCAGAATACTCAGTTTTACACTGTGATAGCAATTTGTATGATCTCTTGAACTCTTTTAAGCTAAAATTGGTTAGCATTTTTTGAAAAATGTTGTAGCAAATTGCTATATCTATACTGGTTTATCACGCCATGCGTACTTATTTTTATTACATTTTCCTTCTCTGAATTTTTTTATTTTAATGACTTTTTATATCTTTATACAGTTGAGCCTTGCTATAAAGCTCCTTTCAGGAACCAGATCAATGTTTTGTGGGTTGGGGTTTTTTTTTCCTTTTTAGAGGAGAGGTGGAAAATGGGTGGGAAGGAACAAGGGAGGATTTAAACTGGGAGAGGGATAAGGTTACATTAATTTCTTGTTTTGCAGCTCCTGGCTGAGAGTTAAGCTGTCACTTGCTCCCATGTTGTTGAGGCAGTGACTATAGTGATGCTCCACTGTATTTCAAAACGTAATGAAGAATATTGGATAGAGTAGCCTGTGATGAGTAACTTTTTAACGATTAAAGACTTCAGAACTTATCAGAAAATACGCGGTTCATTACAATGTCTATGTTGAATTTAAAAAAATCCATTGCCTTAATATGTAGATGATTCCTATTTTTCCTGAAAAGCAGTAAGGTCTCTGTTGGTGTGACTGCCTAAGAAGTACTTTAACCTATGATCATGTTTTTTTAAATAGTATGAAAGCTGTATTTCTATTTATTGAAACTCCTTGTACTGAAAGTCTCAACCTGCACGAGCACTGAAGGCAAAGTGATGGGGACGCTGAGCCCCCTTGATCCCTCTAAGATAGCGGTAATTTCATTCAATACAAATTGCCTTGAGGAAAACAAGTGTGAAACTATCTACCTTCTGTGAATTTATGCAAATCAAAAGGGTTTTCCTTGCACTCCTTCCCCTGTCTCACTGTGCACGCTGCTTGAATGTCTCATCTTGAAGATGTATCTTGGGAGCACAGTGGCTGTCCAAAGTCCACAGTATGGTGTTTGTAGCATAAGGCTGGAGTGCTGTCTACTGAAAAAATACTCTAAAAAATAGTTTTGTGTAGTGCTTAACAGTTTCTAATAAATTCTTTTCACTAAGCTGGCAGTAGTCTGTGTTTGATCTTAAATGATTCTGGCTCAAGCGGTTTAATTCAGAAAGCAGTGTCAGTACTGTTACTTCTGTACATATGCATATTTAGTCTTCTACCGTGTCTGGGCTCCCCCCTCCATTACTTCTTGTTTGTTCTCAGTGAGACTTTCTTCACCTTCCCTAGCCGCGTGCAGATGCTCCAAGCTGCAGAAAAACAAACGCATGTGGCAAAATTTTATTTGCTGCAAGTGCTGCAGTGAGGACTCCAAGTACTGGGTCTTGCAAAATGTTGTGGGGCTTGGTGTGTTTTATAATCTGCTGCGTGGATCAAACAAAGGCAGGACTCAAACCAACCAAGCCAAGTCCTCTACACACCCGAAACACTGATCGGGGGCTTCACTGAAATAGCCCCCGGGACTTCAGCACATGACAGACAGCCTGCCTGCCTTGGAAGCTATATTCCAGGCATCGCTGTGCTCTCTAGGATTAACCCCACTGGACTTCCATGAGGTACTTCTGTAGGTAATGCAGACACAAGATGGGCCAGAGCCTGCTGGCTGCAAGGGGGCTGGCTGGCTGCTGGGTGAAATTCAAAGCAGCTTTGTTAGATTTGGGTGGGTTTGGCTGGGTGATAACACCCAGGGGGGGCAAGGACAGTCTTACCCTGATACTGCTCAGGTGCTGGCTTGGTTCTGTGTTTTCTAAAGGGGCCCTGAGAGAGGGACAGGTGGTCTTAGAAAAGAGGACACCACTTTGAGGAGCAAGGGCAGTAATTAAGGTCAAGACGCAAGGGGCTGGGTGAGGGTGTTCGCTGGGAAGAGGGAGGCTCAGAGGTGCCAGGTCCTTGAGGCCAAGTCTTCAGAAGGAAGAGCACTTGTGGGCATGTCCTGTGGCTGGAACCATCTAGTGACGCTGGGCTGGTGGGACTAAGCTGGGAAGGGTATGATGAGTGTGACATACCTCAAGCAGAGATACAGTTAAGATGTCTTCATTGGAGGCTGAGGGAAAACATGGCAAAAGCCATTATTTACAAGAAAATAATAGTCTTGAAGAGGAAAGCAATTTAAACCAACTGCACTTAATTAAAAATTTATTGCCTGAGTTGTAAGCCAGCCTTATTTCTCTGGGCCTGCTTGGGCCTGTGGAGCTTTTCAAGCATCCTAACAGCAAAAATCACAATTTGATTTACAGCTGCAAAGAGCTTTTCAGTACATCTGGTTGACTTACACTATGTCCGCTGAGTCCCCATTGGCCTTCACCTGCGGTTTGCTTCATGTGAAAGATTTTTGCACATTCAAAGATCTTCATCTGTGTCCTGCAACGCCGTGCACTCAAGCTTAAGCAGGTAAGGAGTTTCATGCATTTAAAATCAAATTATTTGTGTGTCAAGGGAACCATCTGCCTGGTCTCCTCAAAGGGCCATTACTGCATCAAGCAAATGGGTGGAAGGAAGGGTATCTCGTTCTGGATCTGAGCAGTGTCAGCACCACCAGCACAGGAACATTTCTGAGCAGGCCCTGAACATGCAACGAAGAGAGGGGTATTAGTCAGGGTTTGTAATTTTTGCAGCTAAAGCCTGTCTGGATCCCACTACTGCAAGTAGTACCTTGAAATCTTTACTCAGTTTTTCTGGAGAGATCACTGTGCTGGAGTCTGCTGCCAACAACAGGGTTGGGTTTTCCCCAGAAAGCCTATCTCGGGCATCGTAACACATCAGTGTGTAAAACAAATATGTTGATTCCAAAGGTGAACTTGCACCTTTTGAATTACAGATACGAGACTACAGTGGCGGAGATTTTCATTATTATGAAGTACTGCAGTATTCACATTAATCAATAGTTTGTAAAAAAGCAGGGACAAGAGTAAGGACAATAAAGTAGAATACTGCAAGCAGCTGTTGAAGAGTACTTACTAGATGCATCAGCTTTCAAAATAATGAATGGAGCATTCATGAAGATTTATTTTAAAGTCACTAACCTAGAGATTAAACAAACAAACCTAAAAAGACAAGTTAACTACTTAGTAAAAGGAGATAAAGCTGTCAGAAGGCACAGGCTGGGATATGGAACTTGACTTATACTTGACTCTTACTTTTCCAATATTACTCACAACTTCCAGAGGCTCACACACCAAGAGCAAGCTTTCAACCCGATCTTCATTTACATAGACTGTGCAATAAATACAGGGGATTACAGCAATGCTGTAGATGCTCATTATCCACAGTAAACCATCAAACCCAGAGTGG